TAACCCTAGCATCTTTCTCTAATAGAGCTTTTACTATATCTATATGATCATTTTTAGCAGCTTGATGTAATAATTGCTCCTTTTCTGCTTCTTCCAAAAGCTGCTTGATGCTACCATAAGCTAAGTCACTTGGAGTTCTCCCATCTCTATCCTTCAATAAAGAATCTGCACCTCCTGCTAATAAAGCCTTTACTACCCTCAGATAACCATACAAAGCAGCCCAATGTAGAGAAGTCCTTTCATCTCTATCTACAGCATCAACCTTTGCACCTTTTTCTAATAGAACTTTTACTATATCGATATGACCACCTCCAGCAGCCCAATATAAAGGAGTTGTTCCATACTGACCATTCACAACATTAACATCTGCACCTCTGCCCAGTAGAGCTTGTACCACATCTATATAACCACCTCCAGCAGCCCAATGTAAAGGCGTTGTTCCACCTTTACCTACAGCATCAAATTTTGCACCTTTTTCTAATAGAACCTTTACTATACCTGTGTGACCATACAAAGCAGCCCAATGTAAAGGTGTTTGTCCATTGTTATCTACAGCATCAACATCTATACCTTTTGCTAATAGAGCGCTTACTACATTTGTATCACCACTTTTAGCAGCTTGATGTAGTAATTGTTCTTTTCCTGCTTTCTTCAAAAGCTGCTCTATACTATCATTCCTAGTTAAGTTTTTTGGAATTTTACCGTTACTATTCTTCAACAAAGGATTTGCACCTTCTGCCAATAGAATCTTTATTGCATCTACACGACTAAATAAGGCAGCCCAATGTAAAGGAGTTTGTCCACTTTTATCTATAGCATTAATATCCGCACCCTTTGCTAATAGAAACTCTATTATACCTACATCACCACGCAAAGCAGCCCAATGTAAAGAAGTTGCTCCATATCTACCATCCTTTATATTAACCTTTGCACCTTTTGCTAATAGAACCTCTACTACCTTTATATGACCATTTTCAGCCGCACGATGTAAGGCAGCTCCTTCATATCTATTGTCTATAGCATGAACATTTGCTTTATTGTCTAATAGAACCTCTACCACCTTTATATGACCATTTTCAGCAGCATGATGTAATGGAGTGCCACCAAGAATCCCCCCCACCTCATTAACATCTGCACCGTCTTCTAACAGAGCCTTTACTACCTTCTCTGCACCATAACTAGAAAAAATATTTAATAATGTGCATTGTGTACGTTCACTTTGAAATGAAAATGGATGATCGACATTAAATTCGCCTCTTCTCCACTCTACATATATAGAAAAATGTTTTTTCCTTAATTTATTTTTTATTATTTCAACTACATTTAAATCTTGCTCAAGACTTATTTCATCTAATATCTGCTGCCATACTCCGCCATGCATAATTTCCCCTCAGATTAACATATATTAAAATCATAATACATTTCTTTTAAAAAAAATTAAATCTTTTGGATGAAATTTTGCAGGTAGATCACT